GACAGTGACTATATGCATATATTGAATAAATAATGTCGATTTTCAGCCACTTTGGTGAAATGTCCGAAATAATTTAATAATTTTTATATCCGATTGGATATTATTTTACTTGTTGAAATTATTATATTTATTCGATATTTCAACATCTGCGGAGGATAGATTAGGAGAAACATCAGTATTCGGAGTACCGCTTAAAGGCATACTGGGTGGTGGCACTTGACTTTAAAAAAACATTGATGTAGGGCATACCGGGCAAATGTATATCGGACATTGGCACTTAACTTGACCTATTGAAGTTTTTCTTGTAATGTGCCATTTTTCTTTTAAAACAATTGATTATCAAAAGTTTTCAATAAAAAGAATTTATCTACCAAACACAATCGCTTTAATCTATATTTCGGACATTTACCAAAGCTGCTATGTTATTGTCAACATCCCTAACAAAGAAGTCTTGGTTGTCATGATCGTAGAATTAATAAATGTTATACATTTATCTATCCTCTTATTTAATGGTATCTTTTCTGTTCAATTTTGAATACAGAAATATTTGATATCCATCTGTTAAACTCATCTACTACTCTACGATTACTAATTTTCAACTAATCTTCCGATCTGATCTTCAACTGTTCTACTATTTAATATATTTTGTCCTTTCAGCTTTTTGTTTTGTTTTATTTTTATTAAAATGGAAAGTAACTTCGCCAAAGTGAGAATAATTATAGTTAAAGTCAATGGCTTAAAACTGGTTCTTTATAATATAAAGTAATTCTATTATGTAGCTTTATTCCGTAACATCTTATGATTGAGTAATTGAAATACTTTTTATAATCAATAATCATTCAACTAATAAAATTTAGTTTTAATAGGCTATATTTATAAATAATTGGCTCTCCCACTATCCATCTATTTTCCCTTTCCTGAAAACAAAGAACATTTTGACAATAAAATATATAATTTTAGTAATTTTTTGTATAATATTTTAGCATGTTAGCTGTGAAAAAATAAACGATTTCCTGAATCTGAAAAGAAAATAATAAAAATAAATAATTGATTCCTTATTAACCAGTTCGTTTAATGAGTGGTTTCTTTTTATCCTTCTTTTATATTCTTAAAACAGTAACAAAATATGCAATTTTTTCGCTTATACTTTTCTTAAAATAAGACACAAAAGTTTTAAAAAGAAGTTTAAAAAGTCTCAAGAATCGCACAAAAGTAGTGAACAAATCTTTTACTTTGTTCTTCCCATTGAAATTTGAAAAACTTTAATTGTTTGTTTCATTAAAGCTTGTGCTTTGCAGCAATAAATAGAAGGAAAAAAAGTGTTTAATAAAAACAAAACAGTACGTTAAGAACTTTTAGTTACCCATACAGAAATAAAATATTGCATAAACCTCTGATTTTCTGAGGTGTATGTAAATCTTTTATTTTGTTCTTCCTATTAAAATCTTGTGGAACTTTAATCGTTTGCACACTTTAATCGTTTGTTTCATTAAAGATTGTGCTTTGCAGCAATAAATAGAAGGAAAAAAAGTGTTTAATAAAAACAAAACAATACGTTAAGAACTTTTAGTTACCCATACAGAAATAAAATATTGCATAAACCTCTGATTTTCTGAGGTGTATGTAAATCTTTTATTTTGTTCTTCCTATTAAAATCTTGTAAAACTTTAATCGTTTGCACACTTTAATCGTTTGTGTCATTAAAGCTTGTGCTTTGCAGCAATAAATAGAAGGAAAAAAAGTGTTCAATAAAAACAAAGCAATACGTTAAGAACTTTTAGTTACCCATACAGAAATAAAATATTGCATAAACCTCTGATTTTCTGAGGTGTATGTAAATCTTTTATTTTGTTCTTCCTATTAAAATCTTGTAAAACTTGGTTTGACTATTTTGATCGTTTGCACAGTTTAATAATTTGTTTCAATAAAGATTGTGCTTTGCAGCAATAAATAGGAAAATATGTGTTCAATAAGAATGAAGCAGTACGTTAACAACTTTTAGTTATCAATACCAAATAAAATATTGCATAAACCTCTGATTTTCCGAGGCCGCGGAACACAATAACCCTAAAAAAACATAAATAAAATGAGGAAGTTAGGAGAATTGTGTGAGTCAAAAACGGAAGTAATCCATTATGGAATTAATTTGTTCTGTTGTCTTTTAATTAAAGTCAATCATCTATTATTCAATTCCTACTATTATATCACACTCTCCCTATTATCTTGTTCAAATTTTCAATCGTTAATAAAATACTTTTTATTTGTCCACTCAAGTTCAAATACTTATTTTTTAAACTTTTAGTGGATGACACTTGTTGTTAATACAGTTTTGTCAAATATTAATTCATTCATTAAATTTAATGAATTTATCGTACGTTTTATGGGAGAAAAAGTTGTAATTATTTAATAAAAAGTAACTAAAATAAAGAAACTTCTTTGCTGCTCTAAGTAAGAATTGACTTAATTTTTTTTTTTAAATTAGTTGTTAATTTTTTAAATGAATTGATTATCAAATGTTCGGAAATAATATAGAGATCTAAAATTTTCAACGTAAAACTTTCGTTACAAAATTTCCCTGTGGGATTAATATTTTTTTAACCTCTTTAAATATATTTGAAGTTTTTCTTGTAATGTGCCATTTTTCTTTTAAAACAATTGATTATCAAAAGTTTTCACTAAAAAGAATTTATCTACCAAACACAATCGCTTTAATTGTGAATCATACAAGATTTTATTTATTGATTTCGTTCATTGCAACATTTCGAAAATTATGATGGTTTACTTCAAGAAAAAGCTTATTAATTTTTTTGTATTTTAAATTCTATATATTTTTCAATTAGAAAAATGTTAGTGCATTTTAATGAAGCTCCGAAAATCGATTTTAACATTTTGCTGTTTTTTTTATTACTTTTTAAAGTANCAATACGTTAAGAACTTTTAGTTACCCATACAGAAATAAAATATTGCATAAACCTCTGATTTTCTGAGGTGTATGTAAATCTTTTATTTTGTTCTTCCTATTAAAATCTTGTAAAACTTGGTTTGACTATTTTGATCGTTTGCACAGTTTAATAATTTGTTTCAATAAAGATTGTGCTTTGCAGCAATAAATAGAAGGAAAATATGTGTTCAATAAAAATAAAGCAGTGCGTTTACAACTTTTAGTTATCAATACCAAATAAAATATTGCATAAACCTCTGATTTTCTGAGGCCGCGGAACACAATAACCCTAAAAAAACATAAATAAAAAAAAGGAAGTTAGGAGAATTGTGTGAGTCAAAAACGGAAGTAATCCATTATGGAATTAATATGTTCTGTTGTCTTTTAATTAAAGTCAATCATCTATTATTCAATTCCTACTATTATATCACACTCTCCCTATGTCTCGCTCAAATTTTCAATCGTTAATAAAATACTTTTCATTCATACACTCAAGTTAAAATACTTATTTTTTAAACTTTTAGTGGATGACACTTGTTGTTAATACAGTTTTTTCAAATATAAATTCATTCATTAAATTTAATGAATTTATCTTACTTTTATATGGGAGAAAAAGTTGTAATTATTTAATAAAAAGTAACTAAAATAAACAAACTTCTTTGCTGCTCTAAGTAAGAATTGACTTTATAATTTTTTTTTTTTTAATTAGTTGTTAATTTTTTTAATGAATTGATGATCAAATGTTCGGAAATTATATAGAGATCTGAAATTTTCAATGTAAAATTTTCTTTACAAAATTTCCTTGTGGGCAATTAATATTTTTTTAACCTCTTTAAATATATTTGAAGTTTTTCTTGTAATGTGCCATTTTTCTTTTAAAACAATTGATTATCAAAAGTTTTCAATAAAAAGAATTTATCTACCAAACACAATCGCTTTAAATGTGAATCATACAAGATTTTATTTATTGATTTCATTCATTGCAACATTTCGAAAATTATGATGGTTTATTTCAAGAAAAAGCTTATTAATTTTTTTGTATTTTAAATTCTATGTATTTTTCAATTAGAAAATTGTTAGTGCATTTTAATGAAGTTCCGAAAATCGATTTTAACATTTTGCTGGGTTTTTTTATTACTTTTTAAAGTATAATCAGTAAATAATAAATCTTTATTCAGGTAAAATTTTTGTAAAGTAATTTTGTCTTTAAATATTGTCATACTGAATTATAAACGCATGATACAAGCTTTACTGAGTTAAACTCCTTCCTCCCATCAAATAACAATTTATGATGAAAAAAATTTAAACCATTGACTAGACACGTTTAATAAATTGTAGAAAAATTGTCCAAGCTGCATGTTTAAACATCTGCCGTCAATTGTAATTGATGAATCAATTGTTAGCATTGTTGGTATTATTGACCTTAACTTTCATGATTTAAAATTAAAATATTTGAAATTTTTTTTGTGTAATTGATGAATCAATTGTTCGATAAATCAATTGTTTGATGAATCAATTTGTAAATTGGTGAATGCATTGTTAGCATTAACATGATATTATTGAAAATAAGTTTCATGATTTAAAATTAAAAAAAAATTTCCAATTTTTTTAAATGTAATTGAATTAATTGTTTGATGAATCAATTCGTAATTGATGAATCAGTTGTTATCATTAACATATTTTTTACATTAATTTTCATGATTTAAAATTAAAATATTTTTTAAAAAAAAATTTCATGTAACGGATGAATCAATTCTCTGATGAATCAATTTGTAATTGATGAATAAATTGTTAGCATTAAGATGATATTATTGAAATTAACTATCATGATTTAAAATTAAAGCAATTTCTTTTAAAAAAATAATGTAACTGATGAATTAATTGTTTGAATCAATTGATTGATGAATCAATTTTTAATTGATAAATCAACTGTTAGCATTAACATGATATTATTAAAATTTACTTCATAGTTAGGAAATATAGATATTTTTTTGAAAAAGCACGCAAAAATTCCTTTTAAGCAAAGTTCTCAAAAATGTGATAAACGTTCTTTTTTTAGGAACAAAAAGTTGAGCTGCAGTCGTTGGTTGCAAGAAAGAACTCCCCTGGAGAAAACACTGATATCTTTCTCTTTCCTATTACTTCTTACTGTTATTCTCCTTATTGTCTTAGGAATATCATTTGGAGGTAAGATTTTGGAATGCTCTCTCAAAATTCCAATAGGGCACTTTTACATCATCTTGCGTACGTAAGATTTGAAGTAACTGCGCATGCTCGCGCTTATTTTAGATGCTGCATATATTTACGTTATGTTGGCATGGTTAGCATTACAAAGACAACGCTACAAAAAAGCTCTTCATGTTGTTTTCTGTTCCATCGAACTATAAACATGAAATGGAATGCAAATTTGAAGAAATGTATTGATGAAATTTAAAAATAAATCGCGCGATATTACAAAAATTTATTGATTTATTATTAACAAATAATTTGATTGTTTGTTTTTTTCGCTATCTAGTAACATTATTGTTGTCCAGTTTTACTAAATCCATAAAAAACAAGATAGATTTAAAAATATAAATTATATTGATCTCCTATGTACAGTTTAGTTGCAAAAAGTTTACCTTTCAAAATTTTTTTTTGTTTGATTTTAAGTTCAGAATTTGTCTAATTTCATTTTGAAGAAAAGTTATGCTCTCCTTTTTCCCTTTTAAATTGCTTAAGGCAAGAAAACTTACTCTGCCTTAAGCAATGCCTCTACAATTATTATTATTAGAATCAACTTAAGGGACGGGATAACCTGGTTGGTAGGGCACTGGGCCTATGTCCAAGAGGTCGTGGGTTCGATCACTGCTGACCGAAGACTCCCCGTGTAGTAAATGTTGGCTGACGCACGTTAAATCTGTCGGGTCACAAATTCCTCCATGTTCCCATAACAAATTGTACCTCTGGGGTACTGATCAAGGAGTTTTAGTGTCTTCTGGATTGGTTCAAAACTACAAGGCTGCGAAATTAATCATTAGTAGTCGTAAACCCAAAATTGGGCCGGCTGTTCAACGACGATTATAAAATAAAATAAAATATAAAATAAAATAAAATATAAAATATTAGAATCAATTTGGTATTTACTCGGACTTCTGATATTTATATATTANATACAGTTTAGTTGCAAAAAGTTTACCTTTCAAAATATTTCTTTCTTTGATTTTAAGTTCAGAATTTGTCTGATTTCATTTTGAAGAAAAGTTATGCTCTACTTTTTCCCTTTTAAATTGCTTAAAGCAAGAAAACTTACTCTGGTGTAAAAGTGCCAATTATTATTATTAGAATCAACTTAAGGGACGGGATAACCTGGTTGGTAAGGTACAGGGCCTATGTCCAAGAGGTCGTGGATTCGATCACTGCTGACAGAAGACTCCCCGTGTAGTAAATGATGGCTGACGCACGTTAAATCTGTCGGGTCACAAATTCCTCCATGTTCCCGTAACAAATTGTACCTCTGGGGTACTGATCCAGGAGTTTCCGTGTCTTCTGGATTGGTTCAAAATTACAAGGCTACGAAGTTAATCATTAGCAGTCGTAAACCCAAAATTGGGTCGGCTGTTCAACGACGATTATAAAATAAAATAAAATATAAAGTATTAGAATCAATTTGGTATTTACTCAGACTTCTGATATCTATATATTAGGTTGTGCATAAACAATATATATAAATAATATTTGCAATATAGAATAGCTGTTTAAACTATAAGCGCGTTTTTTTTTAATTTCAAAAGAAGTATGAAATTTTAATTTAAACTTATAATTTAAACTGAAATTATAATTTAAAATTGCGTGTAAGTATATACAAAAAATAAAAGAAGTTGGTTGTCTATACTCTATCATTTAGACTAGTAGTAGAAACAATACCATTTATAATGTCAAACGATTTGAATTTATAGTTCCTTGAATAAAGTAATGTGAATATTTGTTGGTACTTTTCGGTTAGCTGGGCGCAAGGAAATTCAATTTTTTTAATTTAATTTTTTTTTTTAAATTTAATTTTGGAGTATTTTATTTAATATGGAGTTTAAAAAATAAATTAAATAAAAAATAACAAGGTACTTTTTTAAACTTATAATGGAGGACACTGGATGTTTATACAGTTTTTTCAAATATTAATTCATTCATTAAATTTAATTATTTAATATTAGTTTCCATATGGGAGAAAATTTGTAATTATTTTATAAAAAGTAACTAAAATGAAAAAAAATTTCTCTGTTGACCTAAGTAGGAATTGAATTTTTATTTTGTTTTAGATTACTTTTTTCTTTTTTCCTTGTTCATATCACATTATTTCCGTAATGTCTAAATCTTTGTTTTCGCATTAAACATATGTAATGATAAGTGGACTTTTTCTTTTTAGCCTCGAGTTCTATTAATTTTGATCAAACTCAGTATGATTCAAATAATTGTTGCCTCATTTATTTCCTCCTTAAGAAATTCAGATTCATCGAATACAATATATGTGAAACGTTCCCGAAATAGGTTTTTAAAACTATCTCATGGGGGAAAAAAGGGGATTTTTTCATAGGAATGCACCCCTTCTAAAATGATGAGATGGAAAGAGGAGGCATTGGGAAATAAGAAGTATGATTCAGAGGAAATCAATAGAATGAGAAAAAAGGGTCAAGTAAGCTATTGTTAATAAAGAGCTCTTTTTTTTGGGCTGATGGGAAACTCACCCAAATTCACCCTCCTAAATAACTCCACATCCGACTAACATCTCTCAAAAACTAAAGACAAAATTCGCTCAATTCATGGGTTCCCACATGAAAGAGTCTCAAATTGAGAGGAAAGAACAAGTAATATAAATAAAATAAAAAATAATAAAGTCAATTCCCATTTAGAACAACAAAGAAAAAAATTATTTTAGTTACTTTTTATTAAATAAATAAAAAAATTTCTCTAAATTTAATTCTAAGTCTTATCTAAAATTAACAAATTGAATTTAATGAATGAATTAATATTTGAAAAAAACTGCATTAACATCGAGTGTTATCCACTATAAGTTTAAAAAAATGTGTTTGAATTTGAGTGGATGAAGTAAAAGTATTTTATTAACGATTGAATATTTGAACAAGATATAGGAAGAGTGTAAACTAATAGTACGAACTGAAAAAGAGGCCATTTAATGTTTTTTTTTTCTTTTCTGCAAAAGAAAGAAATTTCAGTTAATTATCCATAAAGTCAACAACAAAAGAAAGAGATGCTATCCTTAATTAATATTTTCTTAGAATGTATTTATATTGTCTTTTCTTTTCGTCGTAGCTTTCACCAGTTAATGATACGTAATTATTAATATTTTTTAATGCTACCATCATTTTACTGTTATTAACTTTCACAATAGCTCTCTGCTTAACGCGTTTGATTTTTTAATGATTTCATTTAATTTCTGACAAATGGTGAAAATTGTTTTTCCAAAAATACCGATATGACAGTATCCCTTAACTCTGTTTATTAATTTTTCAGACAGTTTGGCTCATAAGGTCCTTTACCTTGAGCCATTAATACTTACATTCAATTTGATTCCATTTTTAACCAATTTAATTCAATTGGTTAGAAACTAAATATACTTTATTAATAGTTGGAAATTCCTAAATATGGTGCAGCCCGTAAAGTATAAGTTCCCAAAGAGTTCATCATTGTCTCAAAATTCGAAGCATCGATTTCCAAGTTAAAATTCTTGATGGTCTCATCAAAACATTTTGATGGTTTACGTTGGTTTCAGTGCGATTTATGATGGTCCGACTTCATTTGGTGGTCACCATTATCCATCATGCATTCATGGATTTTGATATGACAGCAAACTTCCATCATTCTAGATGGAAAATGCTACTTTAAAACTCTGATGGTTAACCATCAAGAAAAGTTTGATTCTCATGGACCAACAATCTATGATGGTTAAAACTATACATTTACATGATGTTTTAATCGGAATGATTGTTAGTTTAGCTGGAATATACCATCAAAAGAACTTTTTTTTCTAAGTTAGCCCATCAAAAATCAATCCAAATTGCTACATTGTGGTTCATGATCGTTCCAACATTTGATTTCTAAGAAATTATAATGGAAATTTCTGATGGTTCAACATTAACAAGCCGTCAAGATCAGTTGCTATTCTTATGGAACATCATACATCGATCCGAATTCCTACATTGGAGAGATGGTTACTTATGTTGGTTACTATCAAAAATATAAAAGTTCATGATTGAATTATTGATTGTTACCATCAAAATTATGTTGCTTCATCAATGGAAAATCATCAAAAGTTTTGACTTGGGTTCAATAGCTGTTTTCTGACTACGTTGAATCCTTTTCCGATTATTTCGCACATATTAATAATACTTTTTAGTAGTTTAGTAAGTTAGTTACTGGCCAACTTCAGAATAACTTTCGTAATTCTCTCAAATATTTTTATTTTATTTCAAATGATGTACTGAGCTTTCTAAGTAAAAAAAAAAGGAATGCTTTCATATTTGCTTTTAATTTTTTTCAATTCCTACTATTAGTTCATTCTCCCTTTATATCTTATTCAAATTTTCAATCTTTCATAAAATATTTTTTTTAACGAGGAAAAATTGTAATTATTTAATAAAAAGTAACTAAAATAAAAAAAAAATTTAAATTTTTTTTATTTATTTTATTCTTTTCTTATCGATCAATGTAACGGCTAACTTTTTATCTCAATACTATTGTAGACTCATTAATTCTCTGCCGTGATTAATCGAAAACAAAAGAATATATTTATAACTCTTTATTATTAATTTCTTACCTCAAATATGTTTCAGTTACAGGGTTATTATAATTCCCTCAGTTTTGTTATACGGGGTTGGCTATGTTATATTTTGATAAGTCGCCAATTTAGGATCTCCTATTCTTACTTCAGTCCGTTGGGAACAAATACATTTAATTTCAAATTTGTTCAACAAGTAATAAATTTATTTTGTTCGAACGATTTATATTATTTCTTAAGACAATTATTAATGATGAGACTCACGATTGCCATTACAAAATTCACGATTGACATTAAAAAATTCACGATTTTCACTGCAATATTTATCAGAAACCAGTTATTTTATCATGATTATGTAAAGTTTTTGAAAACGTTTTTTAATTTCATTGATTTTATGTTTATAAATTAAGAACTT